TAGAAATTTTGATGAGAGATTTTTTTTTAATATTATTACTTACATTAAAAACATAAATTTGATATAGATTTGAAAGACTCAGTATTTCATTAATTGCAACCAATATATTAACAATAATTTTTTTTATTTGCAATACGAAAATATACATAAAAACATTTATAAGTATAAGGAAAATTAAGTAAAAACCAAAGTAGAAAAATAAAATGCATGTGCATAATAATAATTTCAGAAAAAAAAAATTAAATCATAATAAGTGAAATATACAATCAGGAATAAAAAATAAAAATTAAGTAGAAAAAAAATGTTCAAATTACACTTTTTCATAAGTAGGAATATGATCAATGAATACTTTTTAAAGAAAAAGAGCCTTTTTTATTTGTTTCATAAGCAATTCTCTATTACTGAGTTGTCTGTTTACGGATCTGGAAAGTGTATTTTTAATAACATTGGTATCAACATATTTGCTTGTAAAACCGTTCTTTTGATCATTCTTAACCTTAGATTCAGTATAAGATTTGTTTTTATCATTTTCTTTAACGATAATATCAATTTGTTCAAAGAATTTATGGAGTGTAGAAAAAAATTCTTCCACGTTAAAAGATTTTAAGTCCTCGCCAAAATGAGATGATAAACTTTGTATGTGATCTACCGTTGCTTTAAAATTATCATTAAGCACATCAATATCCTTGTCTGCTTGACTGGTAAACTCTATTAGATATTCCTTAATAACTTTAGAATAGCTCTTTTGTGCTAGTTCAGATTTAAATTTTTTTATCTGACGAGAACAATTACGAAGCTCGATTACCAAAGATTCAAACAAAGTTTTTGACAATTTATTCAATGACGAACACAACTTCAAAAAACTAAAAGTGTTATTTGTACACTTTTCAGCCATTTCTACAGCCAAGTGGATGAGAAGGTAACGTTTGGTTTGATAGATCGATTATCCTTTAATTTAGGCAAAGTACCCAATATGAAACCGTATGCTTCACCAGCATAACTTCCCTAATATAATCATGTTTTAATTAATATCATATTATTATTTAACTTTTTTAACGTATAATACATTATTATATTTTCTTTTGATTTTGTAGTTTCAAGTAATAATAATTACTCAATAAGCATGAAAAACAAAATATATTAACGATAAAATAATATACAACTTTGTGTGTTTCTTAAATATATGTCATTTGAGTATAAAATTAATACAACATATTAATGCGTATTGATTTCATACTAAAAAATTCTCATTATAAAGACTTAAAAATATCATTCACACTTATTGCGTTCAATTTATTGTGTAAATGTAATATAACGGACAAAAATTGTATCAACGATTTGTCATTAATTAAAGTGGAACAAGTCTGTTGATAATTTTTTAAAGTCTCAAGAGATTCCGAATATATGAGAGGCCACTCTTCCTTTAACATTCTAAGGTCGATCTTCAACTGATAACACGGAATTTCGTTAAGCTTCATACAGAACTGTTCCGCCTTGCCAAGTGTCTTAATGTCTCCACTGAATTTTGCAATAGCCTTTTAGTCAGCACTTATGGGCAATATTCTTTTTACCGCTTCTAATTTCAAATCAACTGTCGTTAAAATCTTTGGTTTATTAGTTCGTTACATAAATTATCGTTTCCATAGTAAATATTTTGACCAGTATAAAAATTAATTATTTATCATGAAACATATACATTTAAGTAATTTTTTTTTATTGTGAAGAATATTTTTTTTAAGCATAAGAGCATTTAAATTGATTATTTGGCTAACAAATTCTATGTTTCTTCAAAAATAGAAAATATATTATCATAATTATATCTTAATTATATTGTAGTTTTGTTTGAGTAATTTTGAACACTATTAAATTCTATCAAAATATAGTTGAACACAAAAACGTTGTGTAACTTAAGTCTAAAACACTCTTCAAACTATATTTTTAAATAATATTTGATACCAAACCAAACTGTACATACAATAGACTGTTTAAAGATACTCAATTTAACAACAACAAAAATTGACTATCTTTGTATATTACTTTTCTATACATAGCACTCCCTATTGTATGACTATACTGTTTGAACTAAAATATTGAAATAAAAAATTAATACCATCTCAGCCGTTCATCGAAACTAAAATTGATGTAAAAAATTATGATAATATAAAGAACGGTGACTTTTTACACAAAAATAATATTTTTTTGATTACATATAAAAGGCAAGTGGTCGGGACACATTTTTGTTTTAAATTATAGTACGTAAAATAAGATTTAATTTAACATTTGTTTAAAGGACGTAATATTTCAGGAACATTTTCAAAACTTAAGTTGAAAAAATAGCTTTTTATACGTAATTTTTAAGTTTTTAACGCTCCCTGTATAAGGAGAAATGGGTTGATTAAAAGAAAAAATATGTTGTATAAAAAGGAGTACATATAATGGATTTCTAAAAAAAAATCGTGTTGAACCATACATTTTTCAAAAAGTTATAGCAATTTAAAGTTGAAAATGTAAAATATGAAATCGAGAATTTTAACACAAAAAAGCACGTTTTTAACTACGGCAGCCATTTGCACGTAGAAGATAAATTGTGGGGACAATACTTTTTTTTTAATTTATAGTACGTAACATAAGTTTTAATTTAACATATCTTTAAAGGACACAGTATTTCTGGAACATTTTCAAAAGTTAAGTTGAAAATTTCGACTTTTATAAAGAAGTTTCTATTTTGAATACCCCCCGTGAGCAGGTCAAGTGTTAGATTTTCAAAAAAAACTGATATCAGATGAAAGGGAAACATCTAAGGTTTTAATTGAAAAAAAAATATTTTGATTTGTTCACTTTTTAATAAATTATGGCAATTTTTTAAAAAAAGTGAAAAAAATATCAAAATTTACCAATTTTAAAAATCGTAATTTTTGGGGGGATATTCACCATTTATGGTGAACGAGAGAAAATTTCTAATTTTAGAGTGTAATATCTTCAACTAGATATGATTTGTGAACTTTTGACGTATTTTTAGGAAAAATCGGTCCAGTGAGAACCGAGAAAAAATAGTGACTGACACAAAAAAAAATAACTAAACATATCATAGTAAAATTAATACCTTCTCAGTATCGCATAGAATCTAAAAAAAATTATATATATATATATTTAATGCTTGAAATGTTTACGGATGTATCCATATTTTTGTGCTTGTAACTATACTGTTGGCTTAGCTTGTTTACAGTATGTTTATATATCAGTTGATAACTGATAACATCGATGTTGTTTATCTGTTGTTGTTTTTGTCGTGTTGTTGTTGACAACTGTCAGTGTGTTGTTTACATCGAGTTTTAGTTTTTGTTGTTGTTTACGGTATTCTTGGCATTTAACTCTTCCTTTTCTACATTGGTAATCAAAAAATGTCCAGAATATTATAACAGAGCAATGGATGGACTGTTAACAAGACTTGATTATCTTTCATACACCAGGCAACAAGAAATCAACAAAGAAAATAACTTAATGTAGAAAAGAAAAATATAAATGCCAAGATGCTGTAAACAAAAACAAAAATAAAAACCGGATGTAAACAACAAACTGACAGTTGTCAACAACAACACGACAAAAACAACAACAGATAAACAACATCGATGTTATCAGTTATCAACTGATATAAAAACATATCGTAAACATACTAAGCCGACAGTATAGTTACGACCACGAACCTGTAACTGTCTCTCTGAAGACTTTGCAACGAGTCTATATATATATATGTCTAAAAAAAGTTAGTCATATAGTAAATTGTTTAGGAGGCTACAAATATTTAAGTTACGTGTTTAGGAGAGCTACATGTAAAATCAATACTTATAAATTCTTCATTTAGAGACATTTAAAGCCCTTCAAAATAGTGATGAGTATTTTAAACTATCTAATGTTTTTTATGCAGCTAGTTTATTTTTAGCATACAATATCTACTATTTGAAAAAACTACTAAAAGTTTAAAAACTATTCTAATAGACTAACTAACTATGGAATTCGATAGTTACTATTCAATATTTTCCATAATTACTTCAAAGTCTGTCGACGAAAATAACTTAATGTTACTAAATTATATATTTTTTCATTATTACGAGAATTTTTTATGGACCCGGGTCATTCTCTGTTAACATACCTGTTAATTAAGTGTCTGAGAACTTTTGAATACGAGTATTAACTCTCTAAATTAAATCATTTGCTTTTAAATTTCTAATAGTGTTTTAATAATAACTATTCATCTTTCGCCTATTGAATCATTATACTCTAAAATTCATATAAAAATTCTAAGTAATCTCGAATTACATTAATAATGTGAATTTTCCATAAAATCAATAAATTAGGGTTATAAATTTGACGTTAGTAGGTTTATAAGATTGTTTATAATAATCACTGTCACTCATAATATAAAATGTTTGCAAAAATTGTTGCTTATAGGCATTTGTTATGAAATAATTTCTCGACTATTAGTAAACCTAAAAAATAATTAAAAAATACTTTTTCCAAATATATCTAGTAACAGAAATATCCTCTTTTGTCCAAGTCACATCCAGTTATGAGCTGCAGTTTTGAATTTGTTGCAGAGTCTATCTTCAGAGCAATAGTTACAGATTAGTCGTTGTAACTATACTGTTAAGTAGATGGACTCTGCAACGAGTCCGAAACGTCAGCTCTAAACTGAAAACGTGGACACATCCGTAAATATTTCAAGCAATATGACAATCTACGAATGCTTTAACACATTCAGGTGAAAACATATAGGGTATTCAGTAATTATGGTAAAGGGTTTCTATTCTCATTGTTTATAACAATTCACCAGTTTCCTTACTTATTGAACACTCTGTATAATCCAGTATAACATAATTGTACCTTGTGTTAATCCATCAAATCATAATGTTTACTAATTTTGTATTTTATGTTCATTTTTTACTTAAAACATTAATACATTTCAACAAAATTATGCTCTACATTAAAATACAAATTTCAAGTATTAATAAATAGATATGTTTTTATATTTAACAAAAAAAATATAAAAATAAAAATATACAGCCGAATAAAATTAAATCTCTATATATTGCCTCCTATTTGAACCATTTCATCTATATCCACAATTTTTTCCCTTATTTTATTAGATTTCATGCCTCTTGTGATTTCTTCTTTATCAATTCTAGTCCATCCTTCCCAATCAACTGTTATAACATCTAAAATTTTACAAGTGGAATTAACTCACTAATATTTAACTGATTTAGTGTTACACTTACTTCTTTTGAGAAGAAGTCTGGAAATATTATTATATCCTGGTTTAGGTTCATTAATCAACCCTTCATTAAAATGTTTTCCAACTAGCTCAGCAATTTGAAAAGCTTGGCTCATGGTAGATAGAATTACTCCTACTGGTCCTGATGACAACCATCCCACACTATATAAACCTTTAAAAGTTAAATAATTTAGTAGGTGTTTAATAATTTAAATTTTATTAGAAACTATTAAGATATGTACCTGTGTTTTGAGGAACCGTTGAAGTCAATTTATCAAATGGTATTTCAGGATCTATTTGGATACTTCTATAACCAATACTGCGGAAAATTATATCACATTTAAGTTTATTTTTTTGTTCTGTTATTTTTGCTTTCTCTCCTAAATATAATTATTCAAAGTTATATATTTGGTCATTAATTACTTTTATAAATTAATGTTTTAATAATAAATTAATACAATAATTTGAAGTTCATATTTTTTTGTATAATTTTTATGTATTTGTTTTGTATTCTAATTTTATTATCACTAAATGAACAATTTTTAATATGTATTTTTATCAATGTAAATAATCATTTGATATTCAATTTTTATTGAACAGTCTGTTGAAACAAACAAACAAATAAATAAAAGTGATAAATTTCCTATATATATATATTAATAAGTATGCAATTGTGCAAAATTTTAGATTTTATTAGGTATGTAACTAACCCAGAAGGATTGGGACTGCGAAATTTCCAGAGGTGTCAGAATCTCTGAACAAGCATTAAGCTAAAAACTTTTTTATTTTTAAAAAGTGGACCTTTATTAATCATTTTATAGAACAAATTCTAAAGTTCTGATAAATTAAAATTAAACTATCCAATGTTTTAATAAAAACAAAAAAGATGGGGGTTACACTTCGCTTTTATAGAGACAATCGTGAATTCCTAAATATAACTCATATGCTAAAAACTATTGAGATAAGTAATATTATGTACATTTAGTAATAACAAATTAGATATGAAAAATGAAAAAAATTCACCATAAATTTAATGAGAGAAGATGTACATATGACTATGTATAAATATAAATGACTCCATTTTTCTCGGTTTAATGTCAGTACATAAATTAACTATTAGGAGCATGTCTACTTATATTCATTTAAATTCTTAGAGTAACAATTATTCCATTATCCTTACTTTGCATTGAAAAAATGTCCATAAATATAAACCTTTTGTAATAAAATGGTCTTTCATTATAGTATATTTTATTTCAATAGTAAAAATTTAGTGTACTTCCATAGGGGCTGTAGAGACCTGAGCTTTCAGACATATTTGTATCCACACAAAAAAAAAACTATACCTTTAAAAATAGAAGGGAGGAGACAAATAAATCTAATAGAGAAGCTAAATTCTATATCTTTATATATATAATTTTTAAATTACACCTATACATTAAAGTATTGAACATTTTATAGCTTATTTGAATGTATAAATCCAAAATTATTTAAGAATAATCTTTATGAAAAAAAAATTTAGCACATAGCTTTATCATTACTAATTAAAATAATATACATAAATAACCAAAAAATGATAATGATTTATATTTTTTTAAATAGATCTTCCTGCTACACTAACATTGTTATAACATTAGTTGTTTACTTTTTTTTAGTATTATTAAGATTAAACTTATGAACCTTCTAATAAGTTTTTTGATAGTAAAATTCCTTTTACATGTTCAGATCCTTCTATTAATATAGGAGTTCTTAGAAATAAAATATTGAATTTCTTTTCTTCATCAATATTATTTTTTGATGCATCATACATGAGTTGAATTAAACGTTTGCGAGGCCTTTGTAAACCTGAAAATATAAATAAAAGTTTTAATATTTCTAAAATCTTTTAATTTTTTTCTAAATAAAGGAAATTTGAAGAAAATTTTTCCATAGGACAAAATAAACAATCACATTTTCAAATATAATGTATATTCAGTAAATTTTAAATAACAGTAAAGGTGAAACTACATATGGAGAAAAATAAGCTAATTTAGAAAAACAGGTTTTATTTTAAATGGGTTATGTTATTCTTTATAAAAAGAGCAGTGTGCTTAAATAGACATAATTTTCTTTTATATTTACAAATGATAATATTTGGAGGATTTTAAACCATATTTTTTCTTTTTTAGAATTGCGAAAAACTTAAACTATCATTTAAATTATGGAATATCATTTTTATTTATCATTCAAATTTAGAAATGTAGATATACTTATATACAAATTTATCCTGCACATATTATTAGTGGTTAGTTATATATTATTATATAAGACTAATTTAACACACTTGCTAGGTAGACTTAACAAGTAACTAGTATAACAAACATATACTTTTAATAAGTATATGCATTTATTCTTTAAGATATTTCATAAAAATGAAACATTTAATAATAAAAATAATTATCTTATAGGCTAATATTGATATAATCAGAAGAAGGGAAAAATAAATAATTACCACCAATAAGCTCATCAATGCCATTCATTTGTCCATTTTGAAATTTTGTGCTAACTCCATGTAATTTAAGTATTTCACGAAATTCTTTGATAGTAAATGATACTTGGAGTGGACCTCGTCGACCTATAAGAGTTATGTTCTTCACTCTGCTTCGAGATAAAGCTTCCAAACTGTACTCTGTGATATCAGTTTTCTGAAAAATTTTTTTTCTTAAGATTTTGTATTTATATAAGTGACCAGAGATATGGTAGTGAAAAGTTTTCATGAAAAAAGTTTTATTTCAATAATCATTGAAAAGATAACTTTTCAATATCAACAACATAATTTTGTCAAAAAAAAAAAAAAAA